TAAACAAAACCTGAAAGAACACCAGACCAGATCTCCAAGAAGGGAGTGCTATATCAGGAAAATTAAATTCAGACCCACAGAAATAAGAGTTCAAAAACTAAGAAAATAGCCACCTTAATCACAGGAACAAGTCTGTAGCTGAATATTATATCCCAGAATTGAATCAAGAAGATTGAACCACAACAAGATGAAGTACATGAGACTGAACTGGTGAAATATAATTTTATGACTTTTGACTAAAACATTGCTGATTTTCTTCTAGGCTTTGTTTTCCAGTTTTAAGGATTTTTTTGTCCTGTCTTCAGTTGCCAATAGGTTCATGAACCTACTATTTGGACAGAATCCTAACCTGTTTCCTGGCTTTAGGTTTTAAACAAAGTTTCTTAGCATTTCTTTGATTTATTAAAGCTAAAACTGCTTTCTTGAAATTAAAAAAAATATTAAAAATACGTATTTTATGACCGTAGTCAGCTATATGCATCAGCTAGGTGCCACTTTATAGCATATTCATTCTACTCAGCTTCATGACTAAAGTCCGACATGTATTCACAGATACGTATATATCAGCTGAACTTGCTATTGAAAGATTATTTAAGAAATTTTGTGAGTCAATAAAATGTTGGGGAAAAAGGAATGAAAAACAACTGTAGAGACCAGAGTTAGTGTGGGAGGGGGGTGGAAAATGGCAGAGGATGAGAAACAGGGGGAAAAGAAAAAAAAAAAATATATATATATATATATGAAAGTAGAAATGGAAAATTATCGACGATAACATGTATGATTAAGCCACTATGCAGTATATTCTGGATGGGAAATCATATTTTGTATGCTGTGATGATGATGCTCAGTGAATTAATGTAAATTAATTAAAAATAAAAATAAAAAATGTAAAAAATAATGACAAATGGAAATAAATAAATCTTTAAAAAAATAAAACCCAATCAATTTGACTTTCTGGAACCCTGGATCACAGCATTTTCTCCCCAAGTTTTAAAAAATTTGCCAGAGGGCATGTGCACTCACCAGAGACAAACACCTCCATGGGGAATGGTCACACTGCAATTCCTTCTCCCCCATTTCTCCCTCTTTTTGGGATTTTAGGTGCACACACATATGCATACACCCCAAACATGTTTTTCAAGCCTCTAGGTCCAGAACTCAGGACATGCAATTGGTCATACAGGGTGCAGTCACCTTTACCTCACCATCAGCTGGCCCTCTCCACAATTTTGACTCATTCAAATCCAAAGCTCCTGAACTATGTGCGAAATATTAGGGGGCTTTGGAAGATTCAATAAGTAGGGTCCCTACTGTTTAGAATAGTGGTTTTCAACTAGGGGTGATTATTTTCCCCCTCAGGGAACATGTCACAATATCAGGAGACCTTTCTGTCATGAAAGCACAGAGAAAATAGGATTCTACTGACATCTAGTGGGTAGAGGCCTGAAATGCTGCTAAATATCCTGCAATGCATAAGGCAGCCGTCACAATTAAGATTCTTCCAGACAGAAATATCAGTAATACCAAGATTAAAAAAATCCTAATTTAGAATATTACTCATTGTAAATGAATTGCAGATAAAACAAACACATAAGCAGATAGAAGTCATTCATCATCTCTATTAAAGAACGAATTCAGAGACAGTTTATCTGCAGTCAAGTGGACTTCCTATTACTGCATGCCAGAAATAGACTCATCCATGTAGCCATAGAATGTTTGCCTCACCAAGTGAAATCAGGTTCCTATAAAACTCAGTATGTCAGTGCTAAGAACCATGTGCTCACTACAGGTTATGAACTACTAGGAGGAAAACTGAATTTTGTTTTTAAATGCAAAATCAAACAGGGAGCTGAATATGACCACTAGCTCCCTTGGGATACAGAGTAAAGGTGTGGAAAGAAGCCTTAGCTTCCCTCAAAAGGGAATGAAATAGGACAGAAAAAGCATCCCACCGCCACCCCCCACCCCAACCTTACAAAGACAGAAGCAGCAGTTACAAAGCAATCAGCTTCTACTGGTCCCTGGGAACCGAATGTTAAATCTTTCAGAAGTCTGCAAGCAAGTTGTTAAACTCCTAGTAACTTTAACTTGAAATCAGGCATAGCAGTCAATGAAAATTTTAAAAAATACTACAAATTGGTGCTTTTTTTGAAAATAATGTTGGATCTTTTTTCCATGTGGAAACAAATTCCAGATGGATTCAAGATTTAAATGAAACAAAGAAAACATAAAAGTACCTAGAAAAATATAATCAAAGGTTTTTCTATTCTAAAGACAAAAACCATAAAGGTCCAGATCAACATTTAATTATATAAAAATGCATTATTTATGTAAAAACTTATCAAAAATACAGACTATAAATGAGCTATTTTCTGCAAAATATACAATTAAAGGTTGTATATTTATATATATTGTATATTTTGAGGGGCCAGGAGTTGGCGTGGTGAAGGCACTGGACTCCCACATGGCCCAGCACAGCTCAAGCCCCAGACCTGTTGACCTGACAAGTGCAAGCATGCCCAAAATCCTGAGAGAGTGGAAAAGAGCCATACCCCTGGGGCGGAGAGAGATTTCTCACTTTTCCTCTCTCTGGTAACACACACACCTATGGCCAAAAAAAAAAAAAAAAAAACAGAGAGAGAGAGAGAGTAATCTGTCAAGAATTCTTACAAATTACTGGGCCAGCAGATGGCATGGTGGTATAGGGACTGGATTTCATGTGGCTGACTCTATAGTTCAAGTCTCAGACCCAGCAACTTGAAAAAATACCAGGTACATATGCATGTGTACCCAAAACCCAGAAAGGAGAGTGGAAAAGAGATTGCAGCATGGCCATTCCACCTGGGGAGTGATTTCTCACTTTCCCTCTATGTATCTCTCTCCAAGGAGCATATACACCCTATGACGAAAAGGAAAAAAAATATTAAAGAGAATTATTACAAATTACTAAGAAACATTTCAGTGGCGAAACTTTCTACAAGCAATTAAAATACAAGTAAATTGAAAATCAATAAAGAAAATTTAAAAACCATCTGGTTTTGCCTGTCACAGAATGAAACAAGAGAGAAGATAGAACAGAGCTTATGGTGGTAAGGCTATAGTTTTATTAAAAAACTGCTGGTTGGTACAAACTTTTTGTTAGCAACGTAATATATATCCTTTAATCTTACACATTTATGAATTTATTCTAGAAAAAATAAAAACACAAACATTTATACTACTGTGGCCAATAAGAATACTCTAAATTGGGACCAGCAGATGTCATAAGGGTTACGTTGCTAGACTCCCATGTAGTCAACCACAGTTCGAGTCCTGGACCCAGCAGTCTGAAACTCACACTGGTGTGTGTGCTCATACATGCCCCAAATCCCAAGACAATGGAGAAGGATTGGCCATCTCCCCAGGGGGCGATTTCTCACTTTCTGTCTCTCTGTCTCTCCAGCAAGTATATGTGCCCTATAGCAAAAATCTCTTTGAAAAAACATACAACCATAAAAATGCTAAATTTACAGTAATTCCATTTAATGAAATACTATGAATACATTAATTTTGAAATATTTTACATGTAAAGATATTCACCATCTAAACTTTAAAAAAGATTTAAATGGGGATCAGCAGATGGTGTAATGATTACATCTCTAGCCTCCCACCTGGTCGACTATGGTCTATGGTTCAAGTCCTGGACCCAGCAGTTTCAAACTCACACGAGACATATATGCATGCGTGCCTAAAATCCTGAGAGATGACTGGAGAAAGGACTGCACCATGGCCATCCCCCAGGGGGTGATTTCTCACTTTCTGTGTCTTTGTCTCTCTGGTGAGTGTATGTACTCTATAGCAAAAATTGCTCTTAAAAAAAAATAAAAGACTTAAAAGGAGGCTAAAAACAATATATCCAGGATATATAAACAAGTTTCTGTACAAATAAAATATCACAGAGAGTATAGTGAGTTTAGGAGGATAGATAGCAAAGTATGATCAATGTTTTTCCTTTCAGATCAGCCCATGGCGTGGTGGTGGAGGTGGCTGGATCCCATGTGGGCCAGTCTACGGCTGAGTCTTAGACCTGGGAGCTTGAGAAACATGCCCAGGTGCATGTGCATGCATGCCTGAAATCCCAATAGGACAGAGATGGAAAAGAGATTGCAGTGTGGCCATTCTCCACGGGGGATGCTTCCTCCCTCTCTCCAGCACACACCCTCTAGCAAAATTAATTTTTTTTTTCCTGGGACCAGAAGTTAGCGTAATGGCTATGTCGCTGGACTTCCATGCAGTCGACTGCAGTTGGAGCCCCAGACATGATGGCTTAAACTCACGCTGGGCGCATTTGCGTGTGTGCCCAAGATTCCAAGAGGAGAATGGAGGAGAAGTGAGTACAGTGTGGCCATCCCCCCGGGGGGGTGATTTCTCGCTTTCTGTCTCTCTGTCTCTGTCTTTCTGGCAAGCACACGCACCCTATAGCAAAAAACCTCTCAAAAGAAAAATTTTTTTCTTCTTTTTGCTTGCCTGAATTTCTACAATGTGAATATATTATCTATCCATTTTAATAAGAGCAGTTAATAGAACTTGAATTCGGTAGAAAAATTCTCATTATAAAACATCAGTGCCTTAATTAAATTTTCTTTTTAATCATTTATTTTATTTATTATTATTATTACTTAATTTGCTATAGGGCACATGTGCTTACCAGAGACAGAGAGAAAAAGAGAAAGAAAGTGAAAAAGCAAGTCATCAGGTCTGGTACTTGAATCACCGTCAGCCTTGTGGTAGTCCAGCGTCTTAATCACACCACCTGCCTTAAGTGAATTTTCTAAGTAATCATTTCAGATTTTTTAAATACACCTGCTCAAAATCAAAGTTGGTCATTTTGTTTAGTTTGAGGCACAAATGGTCATGTAAGTGAGAAAGTAAACAGGCATAACATGACAGGAAAGCAAGTAGCAAAAAATAACTCTGATCTTTGTCTACTGGTTATTGCAGTAAAGAAAATAAAATGATGGTTAACAAATAACATCTTTATTTTAGCCTTCAAAAAAACAAACTTTACTTCTTTTTCCAAAATAATCAAGATTAACTTACAAAAATGGGCATACATCTTCAAAGCATTTCCCTTTAATGGGAAACAGCTTTACAGGACCTAACATTAAAAGGTTAAAAAAAATTTATATTTTGTTGCCACTGTAAGACAAAACAGAATCTAGCATAAGTCTAGGATATCCATTCATACTTCAGGTCCTTCTCCTCCAGGAACCAGCTGCACAAGAGGAAAAAAGGCTTATTAATAACACCTCGATTACATCACCTAAAATCCCCTAGTAATGCTCTTCAGTGACCAAAGCTACTGTGCTTCTCTCTTACTCTTTCACATTCCCATTTTCTTCAGATCATCAATATTTGTTTGTAATTCTCAATATATCCAATTAATACTTAGTATCTCAACAATGATTACTAACAAAATATAGTATTAAAAAGCAGGTGACATTGCTCTTTAGGTGCTAAGATCTCACATGGACAACTCCAAGTTTGACTCACAGACCAAGTGACTTGAAAAACACGCCAGGGACATGCGTGCCCCAAATCCCACAAAAATGAAGAGAAGGAATAGTGATGTGGCCATCTCCCCTTGGGGGATGATTTCTCACTTTCCCTCTCTCTCCCCTTCTCTCTCTGGCTCTCTCTGGTGAGCACCCAAGCGAACTTATCATTAAGCCTCTTTGCCTTTCCAATAGCTCAGCTCTATAGGCCTTACACCACCAAGAATTCTGGTCCCTTCTTTTTTTTTTTTTTATTTAATTTTGTTAATAGTTTTTAATTTCACCAGAGAGAGAAAGGAAAAGTGAGAAAGCAAGCTGCCGGGTCTGGAACTCCTGGAACTTGAATGGAGGCTGGCTGGCCATGTGGGAGTCTGGTACCTTAACCCAACACTCCACCTACAGGCCACAATTCTGTTCCCTTCTTAAGCACCACTGGGCCATGTGCATTTAATCAAGCAAGAAACATTTTAAGTTAGTTCTGTAATCATTGACCCACAAAAATAGGCTACTATCTAAATGAAATAGCTTTAATTAACATATCTTACCATTGTTATATTATTTCCATTTAGCAAAATCTGATCTAATTTAGTAATCCTTCTTCCTTCTGGTGTGATTTCACTAAATGAATAGATTAAATAGAGTCAGGAAAAACAGTAATCAAAGTCAACATTTTTTAAATAATTTCCCTACTTAAAAATGTTATTCTTATGTACAAATGAATGTGAGGTCAAGCAATTATACTGACAATTTTCAGAAACAAAGATTATCCACTGGGTAATGTATACTCTAGAATCCATGTCTACTAGATTGATCCTCAGAAAAAGAAGTTGAAATTTGTCAAACATGAAACAAAATGGTTTGCAGCCTTTGTCTTTTTTTAAGCATCTATTACTCCTGATTCTTATCCAAAAAAAACTAATCAATTCCAAAGTTTTTTCTAAGAGAGAGAATGTGAGAGGAGGAGATTTTAGAGATAGAGATAGATATTTATGACAGGGTCTTGCCATATTGCAATCCTCCTGCTCCTGCCTCCCCATTAGTTATGACCACAGGTATGCCCAACTGTACTTGGTGCTCAGGTTGACCCACAAACTGAACCCAGGCCTCCCATGCAGCTTCCAGCCTCCTAAGCAGTGGTGCTACATATGCACCAGTGGCTAGGCAAATCTTTACTGTACCTGAGCCATCATTTACATTTTAAGTTACATAGTTTAATGCTTTTATTATCAGCTCCTTGATTTGGCCTGAGCCCTAAAATTCATAGCTGCTTTTAGTATCTTTTATCTTAAAAGTTTTGTCTCCACTAATTTCCTACCAATTTAGTAATAATTACACTATGATAATAACCACTAATATAATTTTACAAGTGTCAGCAGATAAAATTTCTGTCTTTAAGATAGGGAACCAGCAGTTACCATAATGGCTATGTCGCTGGACTCCCACGTAGTCGACCACGGTTTGCGTCCCAGACCCGGTGGCTTAAACCTCAACCTGGGGCAGGGGGCACACCTCACGCTGGGCACGTGTGCATACATGCCCAAGATACCGAGAGGAGAATGGAGGAGAAGGGATTGCGGCGTGACGATTCCCCATGGGGGGTGATTTCTCCCTTTCTGTCTCTGTCTCTCTCTGTCTGTCTGGCGAGCACACACGCCCTATAGCAAAAACCTCTCCAAAAAAAAAAAAGATAATACCAACAGGTAATGTTGTCACATAAATTATTGATTCAACAGTATTAGAACTGCCTTTAACTAAAATTAACTCCCCAAAATTGGTTTAATTTTTAACAATACTCACAATTCAGTAACATCTTCCAGTACCATATCTGAAATTTGGTGTTAAGAAAATAAATATACCTAGTTGAATTTACCCTGGCTTCTGCCTTTGCTCAGTCTTAATTACAATGTTTAATACAATGCCAAATTCAAAATACTTTTTGTCAGTTTTACCTTCAAGTACACACACATCTTAAAATATTAATACAATTAAATATTAACACAGTTAAATAAATATTAACACAATTAACACAATTAAAATATTAACAATTAACAGTTCCCTAAGAATAAATTTATTTTTATTATAATAATCACTGATTGCCTATAGTTATGTGATTAAATATGTAAGAAAAGTCTATGCCACCACCAACTTTCAAAAGGATACTGACAAAGTCATCAAATCCTAGAAGTGTACCAACAATTTCCTTATCACTTTTCATCACAATGTGAATTCTTGATCCTATACATTTGTCCACAAGCTCTGTGAAGGAAAAGAGATTTTTACCCATTCATTATTTCAACAAATATTTGAGTGCCTACTGGCAATCCTTACTTGCATATGATGAAGGATAAACCAGGGAAAATACTCATTCAACAAAATTAGGTCTTTTAACAAAAATCTCTGTTCAATAATTTTACAGAAAGAGTTTTCCTTGGCCCCCACTTACCTCTTTGTAGCAATTTGTTGTAATTGTGGTTTTATACTTGTCTTATCCATATATGAACAGACGCGGACCCCCCAGACCCTAAGCTCCATGAGCGCGGAGACCCTGGTTATTTTTGCCCATCACTATATTCCCAATGGACAGTGTGTGGCATATCCTAGGCATTCCAAGAGTCTGTCAAACAAACGAATGAAAACTTTTCAATCACATCCACTAAGTTAATCTATTTAGCTAAATCTTTCCTGTTACTTCCTCCCTTTAGCCAGCTTAGCATTATTCGGCATGACATTTACTTTTTACTTGTCCAGTATTCCCTCTTCCATTGGCTTGTGTACTATTTGAAGGAAATGGCTGAGATTTAAGTTTATTGTTGAATAGTGTCCAAGTACGGTGTCTGGCACTTAGGTGCTCAATAGTGCTAGTTGGATGACTGAAATGACAAACAGAACTAGTTTCCACGTTCTCTTCTAAGGATCGTTCCAGGCCGCGGTGTTCTCTCAATAACCAACCAGACTTACAAGAGGATGTATCTAATCTAGGGTTGAGAAGTGGGGCTACTACTCATGGCACTGTAGAGCTAGTTCACAACAAAGAAGGCCGACGATGAATTTATTAAGTGTAGAGTTTTCCGCTGAGGGTTTGGTTTAGAGGGTCAAAAGCCGCAGCCTTGGGGAATCCCACGATGTTAAAATGCAGAGGCGGCCTGGCGCCGCACACTTGGGAGCCAAAAAACGAGCCGCGGAGGGGGAAAGTACTAGTCCCACACATTCCTTCACACTCAGCCAGGGCTGCCTAGGCCGCACCCCTCGGGTCCCCAACCCTGAACTTGGCTCCCGCACCAGATTCTCACTCGACCCAGATTACCTAACGGCAGCAGCTGCGACGGGTTGGTAGTAGCGTTAGCCGCCATGGCTACGCCGGAAGTGGCCTGAAAACATCGACGCCGGGAAGGCGACTTTGAAAGAGCGCGCTTCCGCCCCCACCCCCACTCCCGCAGCCTGGGCAGGCTCGACCAATCTGAGACAGAGTGTGCGATGGGGCCAGTCCATGTAAATCGTGCCCACTGGCTTCCCTCGCCTCCGCAGTAAGATCCGGTGAAATCTTTCCTTCGGTGATCGTTTTCAGTCTCGACACTTAACTCTGCCCTCTAAATTAAAGATATGTTGGCAAAGGGAATAAATTCTTTCTCTGTCTTATTTTTCTCTAGGAAGTTGCATTTTGTTTTAAACCAGGATCTTTTTTCAAACGAGTATAAATCACTTCGTACTTCCTTACCACCAAGTCAAAAGACGCACTCCTGGGACCAGCATGTGACGGTGGTTAAGGGCGCTGTGGTTCGAATCCAGGACCTGGCAGCTTGCTTTCTCACTCTCACTCTCTGGTCAAGTTAAAAACAAATAAATAAAGTCAAATAAGATAATTATTTTCTTTTCTTTTCCTTATTTGGATAGGTTTTTGCTGTAGGGCAAGTGCGCCCACCAGAAAGAGACAGAGACAAAAAGCGAGAAATCGCCGCCCCTACCCCCACTCCCCGGGATAGTCAATCCCTTCTCCACTCTCCTCTCAGGATCTTGGGCACGCACGCACACGCGCCAGGTGTGAGTTTAAGCCACCAGGTCCGGGACTCGAACCGTGTTCAACTACCTGGGAGTCCAGCAACGTAGCCATTACACCATCTGCAGGTCCCATCATTTTTTTTTAACTTTTCTATACTGAATTTCAAAAATATATATTTTAAATGCTACTACTTGATGAGACTCAACATTTCTTCCCTTGTTGTATCTAAGAGTCCAACTTATTTTAGGATTTTTAATTCATTATGTCTTCTACAAACAGTTGTCTAGCACGCAACCACCAGATGTCACTCTATATGTAAATGACATCACGCTTCAAAAGAAATCTTTTGCACTTGTGTTTTTGCTTTTTAAGTTTCTTTCTTTCTTGAGAGTGAGGGGGGTTATTCCAGTAGGGTCTCCACAAAGAAATCCACCCCCAGTCTCACCCAGCTCAGCCAACCAGCATGCCCAAACCCAGAACCTTTACCATGTAGGTCCAGTTGCACTACTTCATGCCACTACCCAGCTCTTGCACTTCTGTTTTGAAAAAAGAAAGAAAGAAAGAAAGAAAGAAAGAAAGAAAGAAAGAAAGAAAGAAAGAAAGAAAGAAAATAGATTCTCTGCCTTACTATATTGTATATTTGTATCTTAGGAGTTTAAAGTTAAACAGTTTAGGGCCAGGAGGTGGCATAGAGATTAAGGCAATGGATTCCACATGCCCAGCTGCATAGTTCAAGTCCTGCGCTGGTGACTTGAAAATCATGCCCACTTCATATGCTTGTGTGCTTAGATTCCTCAGATGAGAATGCAGCGGAGGGACTGTAGTGTCCCCCAGGGGGTGATTTCTCTTTCTCTCTCTCTCTCTCTTGTGTTTCCCAAGGGGTGATTTCTCTATCTCTATTTCTATCTCTGAAGTCATATGCCCTATAGCAAGCATACAAAAAAGTTAAGCAGTCTAAACATGTGAGGCCACGGAGAATATCATATTTTCATAAAACAAATGACTGTTAGGCACCCATTGTTCTTTTACTGAACAAATATATATTAGTTACCTACTATTTCACTAGCAGTTTGATAAATATAAAACAGTATACAGAACAGAAGGGGTCTTCTACACTTGCAGGGGCTTAAAGGTGAATAGGAGAGGGGCAAGTGAATGGTGTAGTGGTTTAGTCGCTGGATTCTCATATGGTTGACTGTATTTCAAGTTCTGGACCGGGTGGTTTCAAAATCATGCCAGGTGTATGTACATGCATATCCAGATCCCTGGAGGAGAATGGAGGAGAAGGGATTGAGTTATGCCCACCCCTCCAGGGGGTGTGTGGTTTCTCACTTCCCCTCTCATGGTATCTGTCTCTCTCTCCAGTGAGCATACACACCCTACGGCAAAAATCTCTGAAAAAAAAAAAAAGATAAGTGGGAAAGACAAGTAACAAAAAGTACAAAGCACCATGACATTTAACACACAAAGAAAAAGATCTCTTTTAGGGGCCAGCAGGTAGCATAGTGGTTAAGGTGCTAGACTCCCATACAGCCAACAGCTGTTCAATTCTCAGACCCAGAGACTTGAAACACACTGGGCACGTGTGTATGTGTGCCCAGAATCCCAAGAGAATGGAAGAGAAGGGATCGTGGCATGGCCATCCCTCCCGCCCCCCGGCCGCCCCTCTCTGCTCTGTCTTTCCAGTGAGTACACGTACCCTATAGCAAAAAATCTCTTTAAAAAACAAAAAAACAGACAAAGAAAAATCATCTCTTTTAGCTTCAAGGATCCTAGAGAATACAACCATCTTCTTTTTTTGGATGGGGGGAGGTTTTTGTAGGATGCGTGCTCTCGCCAGACAGAGAGAGACAAAAAGCGAGAAATCACCCCCTGGAGGGGATGGCCATGCCGCAATCCCTTCTTCTCCATTCTCCTCTCGAGATCTTGGGCACGCACGCACACGTGCCTGGTGTGAGTTTTAAGCCACTGGGTCCGGGACGCAAACCGCAGTCGACGACATGGGAGTCCAGCGACATAGCAATTACATTAACTGCTGGTCCCGAGAATACAACCATCTTCTAAATTTCAAGCCAGTTCTGACTTTTTTTTTCATTCCCCCAAAATTGAGCACCTACTATGTGCTAGGACACTAATAATTTTTTACAATCATCCTTTGAGGCAAGTTTTTAATTTGTTTGCTTGTTCGTTTTTGTCTGTTTGTTTTACAGGATGGCTTTGGCAGTGTCCAGGTTCTTGCTATTTAGGACAAAGAATTGAACAAAACATGCCGGTAATGAAAGAAAAGAGTAGTTTATTAAGTAAAAGCAAAAGTACACTCCCAAGAGGTACAGTCTAAGGGCTCTGGTAGTTACTTTCCATGGGGTTTATCATTTCTTAACCAGTGTTGTGTTTGAACGTTGACCAGGCTCACTGATTGTTCTCATCTCATTGACTCTATCAAATGTGGCTGGGTCCACTAACTCATCTCATTGGCTACATCAAATGTGGCTTAACCAACTAGACATCCCCCACTGAAAATCTCTTGCCTGCATTACCTTGGGCTGGGAATTTTCTGCCCTTATTTGTTCTTCTGTCTAGCCACAGAGGCAGACACTCCAGCCCCCTTACCTGCTTCCATTTTTTAGCTTTCTTCCTGCCTCAGTTTCATGATTAAGTTCTCTATACTTAGACAAATCAAACAATTTGTCCACTAGTCACATAAATAGCTTGGGAAGCTTCACAAAGAAACTGGCAGAAGTCCAATCTTGGAGGACAAATAAGAGTTGACTAGTCAGAGGGCCGACCTATGGCCTCTTAGTTAAGGAAGCCAGATTCTACAGGGCCAACAGCAGTTTAAATTCCTGCTCTGGAAGCTTGAAAAACATGCCAGATAGAGATGAGAGGCTATAGGCACTGGGGGAGGGTGGCAGCTTCTAGATGCCCAGCCTACAGCATCACTGAAGCACGAGTCAAGTGTTCCAGAGCTTTGTGTCCGTATCCCTGTTCACCACCTGAACTCGTGGCAGACTGGAGATAGTTAATGATGAAACTAAAGATGTTCCCCTATTTGATGCTGAAGAAGAGACAACTAATAGACCAAAAAAATCCAAAATCAGATATCGAGGGGCATCATTTTTCCATTTATACTTTTTTAAAAAATTATTTTTTATTTAACTTGATTTATTTATTTATTTTAATTTGACCAGAGAGGGACAGAGTGAGAGAGACAGAAAAAGGCAAAGTGAAAAAGCAAGCCGCCAGGTCTGGGATTCAAACTACGGTCAGCCATGTGGTAATCCAGCGTCCTTAACCACCATGCCACCTGCCAGCCCTGATTTTTCCATTTATTCTTTTGAGTCAGTGCAATCAGTCTATTTTCTCTGTGAATTGCTCAGCAGGAGTTTTATTACCTATATGGTGATGATTATCTTGTTATTGTCATGTGGCTTTTGGGTAGTGAAGAATGTCATAGGTAGACTAATGGTTGGGCTACAATGGTGGAATCATATTGATGAAGATAGAAGGAGTCATTGGGTGTTTGAGTTCAGGAAGACATCCTCTCAAGAGAATAAAACTTTTTCAGAGGCTGAATCAAGAATCTTTTGGTTAGGACTTATTGCCTCTCCAGTGCTGTCAGTGTTTTTTGTCTTTAGTGCTCTTTTCTCCTTCAGAGTAAAGTGGTTGTTGGTGGTTATCATGAGTGTGGTGCTACAGGGTGTAAAGTAGGTAGCAGGAAGAATTTAACCGGTATGTTTACCTCCTATCTTGGAAAGCAGTTTTTAAGACAAAACACTGGAGATGATTAGAGAATTCCTAAATAGACAAAAAAATAAAGCTTATATGTATGTTTTATTACATTGGGAAACAACCTATGAGATTCTTGACTCTGAATCTTTTAGAGCTCAGTCCATGTTGCAAAGAGGAGTGTTGGATTTTTCTGCTTAAAAACTTTATTTACAAAGAGGAAAAGTTATTAAGTTTTTTTAAATTTCCTTTCTAGCAGGTGGAACTAGAGAGTATGGTGTCAGTAGAAACATTTTCATGATTTGTTTTATGGTGTACATATGTCTGCACATAGTCAGGTGATACCAATTTATGCCAAATTAATTAAAGTGTGTGTATTCACTAGAGACCCTTACATTTTGATCCACAGAACATAGGAGGATTTCATAGTTTATCTCAAAGCTCTGTGTTTAAATATTATTTCTTGTAAATTAATTTTAGAAGTTTTGCTTCCATGATAAGAGTGAGCACTTCACGTTATGTATAGACTGGAAGTAACTGTTATTTTAAAATATGGACTTCATGGTGAAATTTCTTTTCTTATATATAAGCAGGCAAGTGAAAAACCACATTTGGGCCTGTGGTGTTAACTAGTTTCTAAAATTTTGTTTATTTTTA